CAGCAAATAATGGTAGGTGTGTATTTATAAAATAAAATGAGGCAACACACATTTCGTAATGCTATACAACTCTTCCTTGATACATTTGAGGAACAAGGAAGGGTATTATCTAGTGTTGCATGTTTCAAATTTTAATGCTAGCCATGTGTTAATGTAAAGTAGGATAATGCCCTGAAATCTTTGCCACTCAGAAGGCAATGAACAAGAGTGAACACTATAATTTATTATTTAACATTACTTTAAAATGTTAGAGCTGAAGTGAAATGATCCATTATAAGTGTAGCTGTGCAAGGAAAGTGTATTAAAATTAAAGAAAAAGGTTCCTATTCCAAGAGTCACAATCCTGGGGAAAAAAATACTTCTGAACAAAACCAAGGTTGAGCAGGATAAATAAATTCAAAATATGTCAAGGCACAACTTGAACAGCATGTATAGATCACAGGGAGTTGTTTTTTTTTTTTTTAAATGAATGAATGAAACAGATGGGAATTCAGTAATAAAGCTTCTGAACATGCATCAAAACATTAACAAATAAGCAAATGGGAAAAAAAGTTCCATCTGTTTCATCTGGTATTTCCTAAGAAGTCTGAATGGCAAAGCAGCTGTCCTTGAGGGATTCACACCTGAATGCTTTGAATTAAAGATTTGTAAGATACTTTTACCACTGAGTTGCATGTTTGGAATAAACCAGAATATTAGGCCATGATTTGAAGTGGCTTAATATCCTGTCTTGCTCCAACGATATTAACCATAATTTCCCAGTTTAGAGCAAGTGAAAAACACAGTTAGTTGAAGCATTATTGGTTGGTCCATTCCTGACATGAAGGGAATGTATCCTTCCCCATATGGCTCATTCATATTTATTAAGCTTAGACCCATCATATTTTTAAAGTAAAGCAGGATATTTTAAGGTTCAACTTGCTTGGTTTGATCTGTTCTCCAAAACGTTCATGGACAGAGACATTAGAATTAACAGTTTTTGGTATAAGTTGGAACTATCACCATTGGGTAGAATCCTGATTTAAGGGGAATGGAAAAAGAAGTTCTTTATGTGTGTGTATGTTTTAATGCTATTATTGTTGTGTGCCTTCAAGTCATTTCTGACTTATGGCGCCCCTAAGGCCATGGGGTTTTCTTGGCAAGATTTATTCAAAGGAGGTTTGCTATTGCCTTCCTCTGAAGCTGAGAGTATGTGACTTGCCCAATGCTACCCAGTAGGTTTCATGGCCAAGCAGGGAATCAAACCCTGGTTTCCAAAGTCGTAGTCCAACACTCAGACCACTACAACACACTGGCTCCCTGTGTTTTAATATAGCATTTAAGAAATGCTGTTGGAATTGGATTTGTGTTCTTGATGTGAAATGAGCGTTGATTTCATCATACATAAGAAATGGGCACAAAGTTTTCTTTCCTGGGGAAGAATGTAAAAATAAGCAGGATATGATTAGATCTCTGAGCACTTTACTGTGGGAACATGAGGTGGTGATGTGGGTTGCTGTTTATGGACATGGGGGTGATATGGGTTGCTGTTTATGGATATAGTTTATAGATATTAATGAGCCTTACACTTGTGAACATTTCTCCACTGTTTGGGCATCTTTGGCTTTCAGTGGTGCTCCCTCTAAAATAAAAATAAATATGCTTCTGAAAGTAGCTGAAGAATTTTAATTCCTTGATGTCTGTTCACATATTTTCAAGATGTTGGGATTCATGCAAAAGAAAATTTAAGTACATGAATAGCTTTAATTGCTTTAGGCAAATGGCCCAAGGCTATTGTATTGAAGCCATAAAATATGCTGTGAAGATCGAATTCAGAATTGCCTTTAGTGCCTTCAGACCTGCCTATCTTGTCTTTCACTGAATTTGGAGCATGGGACTCAAGTAGTTATTTTGTACACCTGAAGAATTAAGAGAATTGAAAGCACACCAGAATTGGATGGGATTCACAACTGAAATGCAAAAGCAGACTTCTCAATCAGTAAGAATAAAGAAAACAGTCCTGTGACTTTGTGTGAAGCCAGACTTGAATAGCATGTCTGTGATGTCATTTAACCCAAACTTTGAAAGAAAGATGTCCTGGAAACATTTTTTAAAACCTGCTGTGGATTATTGTTTACTGCTTTGCTTTACACATGTACCAATAGGGTGCTCTTAAAATATCGTGATTTTTAATTTGTGGGTAATTATTCCTTTTCAAAGAAATTAGATTGGCATGGATAATATTATGGATGGAGCGTTATGACATTGCATGATTTTATTGCTACTAGAAAATAAGGGTGATGGTTTCATATAGGTGAATTGGTTTAAATCACATTGATTTAAATATCTGATTTAAAGAATTTTAATGTATGAATTAAATCAAGAGAAAACCATAGTCTGAATCACTGATTTCATAAAAGTTTTCCCTGATACATCTCCCCATGTTTCTTGAAAAATGCTGTATATGTAAACTCTAAACTGTGTTAATGAACAACTCCGGGAGCAGTTTACAAAATCTAGGGGGAATGTGGTGATAGTTCTTCTGTGGCAAAGTCCTTTGTCCCCTTTCATATATGGTCTCTCTGTGCCATTTCACTCTTCTGCCTCTCTTGACTCACCTTTAGTCTGCTGAGAAACAGAAACTGAAAGCCATGAACTTGAAGCAAGAACAGGCAATTACTGTTCATTGCAGGGACAGACTAGAACAGGGGTAGGCGACCTTTTTGAGCCAGGGGCTGGGTTGCTGTCCCTCAGACAATTGGGGGGCCGAAGCACCCAAAATAAATAATAATAATAAAAAATAAAAAATATGCATACACACTCTCTCAGCCCCAGAAAAGCCATGGCAAAACCCCTGTGGAGATTTTGCCAAGAAAACCCCAAGAACAAGTAATAACAACAATAATCTATATCATCATGGCGGGCGGCGGTGGCGGCGGCGGCAGGACTGGCCTAGGGCCGGTCCAAGGCCTCGGGGGGGCGCATTCGGCCCCCAGGCCTTAGGTTGCCTACCCCTGGATTAGAACCATTTTCTTGAAATAAAAAACTTAAATGAATGCCTATGTTTGATTGTAGGTAATTCAATCTTGAGCAACTGGGAGAGAGAGATTTATTCTTTTTTTAAAAAAATAAATTTATTTATAAGACACATATACCAAAAACATAACATACATATATACATAAAATACAAAACACAATAACATAACAAAAAAAGAGGAAAAAAAACACATCAACAACAAGGTGAAAAGACATAATAGCTTTCCATTATCTATTAGTCATATTTTAGTTTCTTAATCAAAACTCACATCAACTATTTTATACTTCCTAAGTGATCCTTGCCGCTCTTATTTATTTATGTCCATTTGTTTCCTCTTATTTGATGTATATTTATCTTAAATGTCCTTTTAATAAAAGAAGTAGGTAAGAAGAGATTTATTCATTTGCATGAGATTCTAAGTAGGTTTGGTTAGCATTTGATGATGAGATTTATTTTTAAGTATTTAAACTGAGTGAAGAGAATTTTTTGTCTAAATCCAATTGTTAGTTCCAAAGTAGAGTAGCTCCAGTTGAACCAATGGAGCTAATTTACCTGTTGAATTATCAATTATCAATCGCATCGAATTATCAAGCCTTAATTTTTATTTTTTCTATTAAAAATGTTGATTTTAAAAAGCTCACCGTGGTTACATTATTGATGAGGCTTTCTAACTGAGTGTTTAATCTCTTACTTCAACACTTCACAATAGCACTTCATACTATGGTATTCAATTTTACATGATTCTATACAATATTGCTTCTATTTTTGACTGATTATTGATTCTAGGAGCTCTCAACACTGCTCTCCAGGATGTTAGTTAAGCATCCTGGAAGGCAGTTTTGTGTGCTGCTAGTTTTTCTCTTAAGTGGCTTTCTGTATATATAAAGACTATACAAACCAGACTGATTGGCTGTACAAAGGAATCAAAAGTCCTATCAGACATGTCTGAGTCATTGCATGTGCTTGTGGACTGGTGTCGCTTTTTCAGGAGTTCTGTGGGTTTCTGAGTTGTTCCATGTCACATTGTTTCACTTTAGAGACATACATGCTACCATCCCATGACAGTCCATCTACAAAGGCTGAGGATCCTAAGGGTTAGTTGAATCCTTAGTTGAATCACTGGGCAGTGCCTTTCCCTGAGATCTGTTGGTTGTTACACTATAGGGAAGATAAACACTGACCACACCAGGGATAGGCAACCTATGGCCCAGGGGTCGGATTCGACCCCCCCGAGGCCTTTGGACCGGCCGGTCCTGCCGCTGCCGCCGCCACCCGCCATGATGATATTGTTATTGTTCTTGGGGTTTTCTTGGCAATATCTCCACAGGGGTTTTGCCATCATGGCTTTCCTGGGGCTGAGACAGTGTGCATGCATATATATTTTTTAATTTTAATTTTTATTTATTTATATATTTATTTATTTTTGCTTCGGCCCTCCAATTGTCTGAGGGACGGCAACCCGGCTCAAAAAGGTTGCCTACCCCTGGACCACACTGTTGCATACAGTGTAACACTAATCATTGGGAGAAATGCACCAACCTAATGACAACATGGGACCAGATTGCACACCATGCTGAAAGCTGACTTCATATATTCAACATTTGAAATGTCTGAAATAAAATATATTGTGTATAATAACAATTCCTAGCCTGTGGCTTTTAGCATGTGTGTTTCATATATGGGGCTTCTCAGAATGATGCAAGAATCCAAGTGATTTTGCATGTGTGAGCCAAACTTGCCATTTCCCCCCTAACAGAGGTAGATTCAACTTTAAAAGCTGTAAATCTAGAGAATCTATATACCAGTTGTTTCCCTAGTGATAGTTTTGTTGTTATGGACTTTCACATCATTTCGATTTAGGGCAATTCTAAGCTGACCTTGTCATGGGGTTTTCTTGGCAAGATTTGTTCAGAGAGTGGATTTGCCTTGTCTTTCCTCTGGTTGAGAGAATGTGACTTGCCGATTGTCACCCAGTGGGTTTCCATGGATGAGTGGGGATTTGAACCCTGGTCTCCAGAATCATAGTCTATTGCTGAAACCACTATACCACACTGGCTCTTGGTGATAATTGCTAGGAAGCACTATGGATCCTTTTTGGTCCGTATTTGTTTTGATAAGCTTGAAAGGCTTTCTGTGTTCCCAAGGATTAATCTGCATATTTGTGATTTTCTTAGGTGAGTAGGCATGGTTTCAAGTTTAGCAGCTAAATGAGTCAGTTCTCTTCCTAATAAACAGGATGTTTGCATTGAAGAAGAAAGAACCTATCACAGATGGGAAAGAAAACAAAATGTTCTCTGAACCTTGCTTAGTAATTCAGTGCAAACATACTTTACATGGATATTGGTTTTCGCCAGGAAGTGTAAATGATATATGTGAGTTGCAAGTTTTGTGATTTATATGATTGATTGTGTACATTGCTTAAGGGGGTACAAGAAATCTTATCAAGGGCCACTGTTTCATTAGGGTGAGAAGGTGATTTTTTTTTTTTTAACAGATGTACCTTAAAGTTTATACTGTTATAGCCAATCACTGTATTCTTAATGGATATCTTTGGATACAGAGACAAAGAGGGTACCCATTGTTGTAATATTTTAAGGGCTTATTAAATCCTATAGAGAATAAGTATTCAAAAAACCAAACTGTCCAACATTTCCACACTGCAACATTTGTATAATACAAAATGTTTATTATGGATATATTATTGCAATCCTTTTTTACTCAGCTTGGAATATATTTAGAATAAATAATTGTGAATAAATTCACAGTTTTCTCATGCCTGGAGTCACAATAAAGTAGCATAGGCCCTCCTTACCCCATGAGAACAGTCCTTAACCATGTGCTTTACAGTAGTTTGCAAACTTTCCTTCTAATATAAGGATTTTTTCCTTTTTTGACAAATCTTGTGTCATATTGCTCAGCATTCCACTAATAACAATTTAAATGTTTGACACATTAATGAAAGGTAGATCTATACCTGTGTTTGGCCATGATAGCTATAATGAAATCTTCATGCTCAGCTGTAGGTCTTCTCTGAGATTCAAGTCCTTGAACACAAACCAGAGGTGGTTGTGAACCTTTACGTGTTGCTTCTCAGCTTTCAATGTTGGAAACAGAATTTAGTGCCAGATAGGTGTTGACCTGCTTCAGCAAAAGAATTCATATTAACTTCATTCCTTGTAAGGTCAGCATAAGAGAATTTTTTATCATAGCAGCTGCAGAAATAGCAGCTTTCTTTTCTTATGATTAATGCACAATAAAATTATTTTCATGTACACCCCTAGGTATATGGGAAATTCTGTTGTCATTATTCTCTGCCCATAAATTCCCGTAAACTTGTTTCCTGCTTTCAGTAGAACTCTAAAGGCAACATAACACTGCATACTTATTGGATTAATGTTGATTAACTTGGAAGAATAATCACCATCCTTTTACCTCTTTAAAACCCCAGAATAACTCCAGCTCTTAATATAACAGGAAGCACTATGTTATAATTTAAAAGCTGTCCCTTAATGTGGTCAGTTCCTTGTCCTAATTCCAAAAGGATTTTAATTAAGATGTCAAGTTCCATAGTAATAGCAGTCCTGCTTAGTGTAATGGCATACTCTGGAACAATCGACACTAAAATGCCATCTTGCTTCATTAAAAGCTCAATCCAATTCAAAGCTAAGTTGCAAAGCCAGCAGAACACTCAGGATAATGTTTGGCCCTGTTGCCTTGGTGTATGCAAAGGATTACCTTTTTTGAAAAAGCAACAGTTGTGCCTCTTAAGCATTGCTATGATTATGTTATATAGTTTACAAGTACTTTGCATTCTAAAAATACTTTTTATTCCCAAGGTATAGCTCTATACTCGACACATAAGAACTCTTGCACTTATGTGGCCATACATTTCCTTATCCTTTATTTTAATTTCTTTTCTAGGTCAATGTCCGGGTTACCACTATGGATGCAGAGCTGGAATTTGCCATCCAGCCTAATACTACAGGCAAACAGCTGTTTGACCAGGTTAGTATGAATATATCTGTCATTTTCTTCCATTTTTTCTGCAGGTGAATGGTTGACCAAGCAGAAAGTCTTGTGATGTGTGTGTTTGGCACCTTGAAGATCTCCCCATAGCGAAATCCCAAAGCTGAAGACCCTAAAGCAAGAATCCCATAACTTTGGGGGCAGGATTGGTGATACATTCCAAATTCTATGGGTGTACCCTCATAAAATGAGAGTGCCCTGTGGAATGCCCACTCACAAATTTTTTGCCATAGATTTTGTGGCTAGCCACAAAATGCAGGGGGTGGGGTGGGGGAGACCCTGAATGAGACTAAATGAATAGACATTTGTTTAAGTTGCTAATGCAACTCAGAAATGGTCTCTGAGCTTGGAGAGAGAGAGGGAGCAGAGAATGAGAGAGAAAGGTCACTCTCTTGAATTGACAGTTTGTGCTTCAGTGCTTGTTTCACAAAAGACAAGCTGATAACTTTCAGACAAGTGACTTAGCCAAGAATTGAAGTGCAGGCCATATGCAAAGTCTGAGCTCTAGATGCCAAACATATCTGTCCTCACAAATAAACTGGGAATGTTCAGATAAATACATACACTGACAAAAAAATGACCAAAAATAAACACATAACCCAGGCACAAAATACACCACATGAAGAAAACACCAGGAAAAAACACAATACACACAAGGATGAATCAAACCCCACCACATGCACCCCTGCAAAATGTGCATATGTTGCCACTTCCTTTAGTGCCCCATACCAGACACTCTCTATAACTCTCTCTTTCTACTCCCAGCTTACCCTTTCCATAGATGGTTGAGCACCCTTCAAAAGAAAGCACTGGGTTGTAGCCATCTACTGTATTTACATCTTTTAAGAAACAGGAGGGAAAAGCAGCTTGGCAGGTGCTACAGTGGGAATCACATTCTTTAAAAATCTGCACCTGAAGTACTTAAGGGGCAAGTGAAGGGGCTTCTTGCTGGTCTTTTTGTCTAAAAGGAAGTGGAAGGAAACCTTTGACAATAAAAACAAGGAAAGGCTTAAATGCAATAGGGACTTCTAGTGCCCAGTGTCTGAAGTGGTAAAGTAATGCTTTTGGATCAAAACTTTTAATAGTCAAAGGGCATAGCAAAGCAGTAATGTGTAATGAGCAACTTTGGATCCCATCTGGGAGAAGGGTGGCATACAAATTAAATAATAAAAATACAAATAAAATATTATTTTGAGCATTTGGTAATTCAGAAATAAGGGACATGTATGTTCTGGAGTAAAGGATCATTCTTCACTGTTAAAATGAGTAGGTCAAACCCATGTCAGGAGTGTTCTGTTTAGACATTACAGCTTTTCCTTATTTCTGCCTAACATAACATAACAGTGATCAGTTAATAAAAGTTGCTAGATTAATTAGCTGCTAATGAACTATATCTAGGGTCCAAGTACGTTTTCTTTTACATTGAATCAACATGAGTAATTGTGGAAGTAAGTATTAATCATACTTAAACTACTCAGCATCTGTCACTGCTGTGAGATTAACAAGTGGGAAGAAGAAAATACCCTGCAATAATGAGGAAGTAGTAATGACTTAATAGTCTATATCCCAAGGAATAGTGGAGAGGCTTAATGTGTTTGATCTATATAGTTTGGAAATAGACTCTCTTTTGTTGTCATTTGTGGTGATGAGGAACCTTACATTTGTAAGTGGAGTGTCTATATTATTCTATAATAAGTGGAGTGTCTATATTATTATATTTTTCAAGGATTTTTGCTATTTGTAGTGATTTCAGAGAAAGGGAAGGCATGCATAATATGAGAAGATTAAGAGGGACTATAAACACACCTGAATATGAGGAATGGGGAGCAAGGAAGGGTAAAAGAATGAACCCCTTTTATATTGGTGCAGCGATTGCATGCAAGTTTGAGTGCTCTCCTACCCATGACCACTTTGCCATTCGTTTTGATGGAGAGGTCCAGCAGGCAGAGCCATGATTGTGAGGCATATATGTAAAGTTTTGGATTTGATAGTGGATTAAGCTATGTAGTAT